AATCTACCAATTTTTGTGTGTTTTTGAGACTTGCACACAAGCTTAAATTCAGGGCTATACTTTCAGCAGATTTACCATTAGAAACAAATTGATTCTCTGTTCTTTCAATTGTCTTCATTTGCGGTCACTTGAGCTGTAAGACTTTTCATTTTATCTTTGATGTACTGGTGATCTGCCTAAATCATTATTTACAAGATTTACTTCAGATTAAATGACAATGTAGGACTGTATCAACAGATACTTTGCATCAATGATCATACGTTATGCATATTCCCTCAATGTTGTTTCATGATTTGTATGTAAGTTTATTTATTTTCATTTGTAATTACCATAATGATATTGCAATTTCTGGAAATAATTTTATGCTATAAGGAATTAAAGTACTTTTAATTATATTTTCTTTTGGAATTTTAAATTATATGACTCTTAGATTAGCATATGTTTAATAGATGCATATTGTGCACTGTATGCAATACCTTCAAATGATCAGCTCTTACTGAGTAGTGACAAGAATTGGTTTTCTCAACAAAATTTTTGTGTTGTACACTAATTTAGTATTACTGAGGAATGTCTTGTTCTGATGTTTAACTGGTAACCATGCACGTACACCTAATATTAGTACGTATTATGCATTCTGAGATAAAACACCATTGCTGATTTTTAAGTAGTCCAGTCTGAAGTTTGACCTGTTCACTCCTGGCCTTTGTCTCATGTATACTCAATTCTTCACTTTGTTTCCATATCTAGCCTTTTGCGTCTTTTTACATAAAGAGTAGATGTCTTTCATAAAATCACTGATCTATCATTGCCAAGATTACTTTAACCATCCTTAACAATTTGTTGAACAACTTTGAAAATATGTTGCTTCCAAGGTATTGCTCAAAATAACAATTTTGAAATGAAAGGGACTAAACCTGACAGAATTGTCAACCGCAAATTGCATTTATATAGAACTTTAAACATACAGATTATATTACAGAATTTACAGTTGCCTAATCAGACAGTATATGCCATTACCAAGGAGATGTTCAGCAATGCCAAAAGATTGGAAAAAAAAAAATTTATTTTCTGGAAGAGATAAATTGAGAGGCAGAGCATCGGACATACAAGGCCGTGAACACTGGAGGATGAAGAAAAGTAAAATGGGTATTGAATGGCTGATGAAAGTTAGAGACAAGACAGCACAGGATCATGGATTGAAACGCAAGGTTAAACTTTTCAGATTTAAGACATTGGCTGGGAGCAAGTAGAGATTAGTAAGGGCACATATCAAATCATGCTCCAGTTTCATGTGAAATAGGATGTATACAGCAGCGTTTTATGAGTTCATGTTTTATGGTGTAGAGAAATTTAACCTTGGCCGATTTGACAGTGGAAAATTCAAAGACTGCTGAGACTGGAACAGAAATGAGCAATATTTCAGACATAGAGGTACACCGTCTTTGAAGTGCAAAGTATTTAATGTCAGCATCTTGAGTGTGGAGTTCAGCATGATGGGAGGTTGAGATCTGAGACAGTGGCTGGGAATGATGAAGTGGAATCGATAGCAAAGAATATAGAAATTCTGACCGGATTCAGATGATATTTGACAACAAATGAAATGGAAGGCTTGGTAGAATATAGATGATGTGTGTGCGGTGTACATGTGGAAGCTGGCCCCATGTCTTTGGATGGTAAACAAATGAAGGGGAATTGGACACCACTCCTAAACTCACCAAAGTTGCTGGTAAAAGAATGGGAAAAGAGGCCACTGCTGGGAATGCTCTCACTATGATCAGATGGTAAAAGCAGAACTAAGTACATGGCATTGTATTGCTGTCATTGCCTGTTTCGGATTGCAAGGCAGTTTAACAGATGAATGAAGATCATGTAGTACGGTCCATACCCACAGAGGCGAGGTGAGAAGGGATAGGAGAGAAGTACAGTTGAACAGATTATCTCCATCTTGAAGATAAAGCAGGCCATGAATTTCTTGTACTTTGAAGTGAGTTGATGGCAGGGCAAAACTTTTAAGGAAACAGTTGGTACTGAAGGAAATTACCTGGTGAGTTATATATCTTTGCTGTCCAGGAAGGTCCTGAATTAGTTCACTATTTTGACAGAAGAAAATGTGGTTAGGGTTGGTATTTCTGGTTTTCTCACAGTCAAGATTTGCCGTACGCTCATAATTTTTCCTCAAGCTTTCCATGCCTTACCTTCCTGACTTATCAGATTTCAGTTTCCTCCTTTGCATTCCACTTTCCCTTTGCTTTTCAATCTTTAATTGTTTAGATGTAATTTAAAAATGCATATCTTATGAATTTAGTTTGGAAAGCATTTTTTTTTAATTTCTGTTGATACATGAGTCAATTTTTTTTCTCCAGGACAACCATTCATGAATCCAGATGGTACAGCAGTAGTGTATAATCCACCTCCAGCCCAGCAGACTGTAAGGAACTCTATGGCTGGTTCTGCACAGCAACCACCACCTGTTCCACAACAGCAGCAAGTAGCAAATCACATCCTTTCTCAGGTTAGCTGATCGTAATTTAAAAGTTCAAAGGTATGACAGGGAATTCAATTCCAACATTGATTTAGTTCAAAATGACTAATTAATAATGTTGTTCTTCATTTGTTTACTCTATTTCAGTTGGTCATATTTAAGTTGGATAATATAAAGTAATAATTTAAGTTCCATAAAAGAACAAAACTTTTAATTCTTGCAGTCCACGAAAACCAAGAAGTAATTTGAGTTACAGATGGAAGGACTTAGGGAAGATAACTGATAACTAAATTAATCCACTGCCTGTGTGTAGCATTGCTGTTGCTAGTCATGTGCTAAGTAAGTGCCTATGATATATTAAAGAATGAGTAGCATTTGACAGCAGTACAACTGGTTCTTGTTCTGAACTACTTTCTATTTAAAATAAATTTTTCAAGGGGGCGTTGTACCTCCATTATAGCATTCAACTATGATGTAACAGAATATACTAACTTTGACCATTTTCAAATTGAATCTGTACATATCTTCGAGTGTGTCCTGGAAGTAAAATGTTACGTCATTGTCTGTTTAATCATCAGACGTAGAAAATGAGCAGGATTAGTTGACCCCATATTACAGAGGTGGGTGGGTGGTCAGCCAGCCCGTATTTAGAGAAAATACTGTCCTTCCTGCCATTTTAAAAACTTTCTTTGGTGGATGCTGTCTACACATAAGGTGCACCCCCACCCAGAAAATTTCATCTCCCCTGCCTCCCTCCCCAAATAGACTCCAAACTCCTCTTCCCTCTCCTGAATTTATCCAAACTCTCCCTGCCTATTGCCCATTATTTGGGTCCAGAATCCATAAGGATCGTTATACAATGAAGTTCTGGCGGTCTTGGGTCTGCTAGAGCTCCAGAGGTTGACACATCCCCCTACACTGGTGTAGAAGTCCCTCTCACTTCGAGTTTAGCCTGTCTGTTGCATCTTAGGGTCGCAGGGCAGGCAACTTCTGGTCCAGTTGCCAGGCCATTTAATTTCTTTCCAGGGATCCGAGCTGTCTGCCTTCCCCAAATATTTGTGCCCCAGATGGATAATATTATGTTTGCTGTCAAGGCATATATAAAGCAGTCTGGAGTTCGGAATGGGCAACCGGATCTCAGTTTACACGTGTTCTCCAATCGAAAATGTAGAAATAGAAGTGTACGACTCAGCCTACAACCCACTATTCAGTTTGATTGTGGTTGACCGTGCACATCCACAGGGATATTGAGAGAGTGAGGAGAATGCAAAGAATGTCCAAGTACACCAAATACTGAAAGCGAGCATGCAGATGCTGCAAGCAGTTAGGAAAACAAATAGTATGTTGGCCTTCGTAGCAAAAAGGTGCAGGAGCAAGGAAGTCTTAGTACAGCTGTACAGGGCCTTGATGAGATCACACCTTTACTATTGTGTGCAGTTTTTTTTAAATCCTGCCTAAGAAAAGATATACTTACCATAGAGCGAGTACAGCAAAGGTTCGTCAGACTGATTCATGGAATGACAGGTTTGTTATATGGAAAGAAATTTGGTCAACTGGGCCTCTGTTCACTGGAGTTGGGGAAAAAAAATGAGGGGGTTCTAATTGAAACATAAAATTCTGACAGTGCTGTACAGACTGGATTTGGATGCATTGATTGTTCTCCAAAAGAACGGATCTATGTCTCAGGATATGCGGTAGGCCATCTTGGACTGAGGTGAGGAGAAATGTCTTCTGAGGATGGTGAACCTGTGGCATTCTCTACCACAGTAGGCTATGGAGGCCAAGTTACTGAATGTATTTCACAAAGAAATAGATTTGTCAAGGGGTATGAGAGCATGTGTGAGGCATTGAGATACAAGATCGGTCATGATCGTGTTGAATGGCGAGGCAGCTTCTTTAGGCCATGTGGGTCTCCTCATTCAATTTTCTGTGATTCCGTTATCTGCATCTTGCCTTAGTTCCATATTCCCAAATACTCTTGGCTATCAAAAATGTATCTCTTTATTTCTTGAAATTTTCAATGTGGTTAATCTTAGCACCTAGTCAAAAAAGTGTTTCAGGTTTCTGCCAGTCTTTGTATTGAACTCTTTCACCAGTTCAAAAAAAATCCTCTCCGTTGTCGCCTTTCAACGCCTTTTAATAATCTTAACACCTCAGTTAGATCACTCTTTAATCTTCTATAATTAAGGAAATCCACATCTGCTATCTGTAGTCATTGCACCTTTTTAACTCCAGTATTACTCTGGTGAATCTGTGCTGCAGGCCCTTCAACACCAATATATTTCCTTTATACTGTGGTGCCTGGAACTGATCAAAATACTCGAAATGGAGTTTAAACAGAGTTTATGTAGCTAAAACAACAAGAACTGCAGATGCTGGAAATCAGAAACAAAAACAGAAATTGCTGGGGAATCTCTAGGTCTGGCAGCATCTGTAGAGAGAAAGCAGAGTTAATGTTTTGGGTTCTGAAACGTTCACTCTGCTTTTTCTCCACTGATGCTGCAAGATGTGTTGCGTTTTTCCGGTAATTTCTGTTTATGTGCCTCTATGGCTAACAAATTAAATATAACGTGCCTTTCCACCTGATTTTCATGATATCTGTACTTGAACTCCGAAATTTCTGTACTCCTCAGTTCCTGCTGCTTTGAATATATTGACAATTGATTACAGGGATGCATGTTGTAAATTGGGTAAACCATATCAAACACTAACCTTAAAGAAATCTTTTAAAGTTGAAGTATTGGCTTATTTGTTGCATAGCAGTTTTTACATTAAGCATAAGGGTATGAAATGATATCTCCATATTTTTTGGTTCTAAAATTTAAAAAAAAAAAATTGGAATAATATGATCTTGTTTGTGTTTAATTACACTGCAACCTTTTGGGGTGTTTTAAGGTGAACATTGCTAATTTAACTGTGCAAACTATTGCTTCTTCAGCCAATTCGGGCTCTTCAGTCTTCTTCACAGCCTATCCAGTACTCTGCGGTCTCTTACCCACCTCAACTCGTGCCAGTATCACCCACCCAGCAATACACTGTGGTATTGACACTCAATATTCTATTTTCATCTTTCTGATCTTTAGTTTGTAGACATGTATGTCTTTCTTTTCACTGCTGCTTGTAATTTTTATGTACTTGCTATGTGTTGCTCTTGATGGTGCTGAAAATATTTTCAAAATTTAGTTTCTTTCTATCAGCATTTATTCTTTAAGATGGTTAAAACTTAATAAAGTATTCCTTTGATTGAAATCTGTATTTAAATTCAGATAGTAAAGTGCCTATTTTGTAGAGCTAAAGTTGACTTTTTAAAAAATACCCATTCTAGTCAGAGCTGAATAATCTGTCAGAAGGGAGGATATTTAACCAAAAGGTACTGCCTGAAAATTTCATTGTTTTTTATTACTTGTTTGAAAAAAAAGCCTAAAACTAATTACTTACAACAGAAGCTGTTGTTAATTTAGTTTGTGCTTACATTTACAATGAAAAATTCAAGAAAGTTGCTGTGGACTTCATTTACTACTACTGCAAATGAATTGCTTGATTATAATTCACTTAAGCTCACTTAGACTAAGAATTAAATAAAAATGTTTTTGTTTGGGGTTAAGCTAAAAGAAGTTTATATTCCCAAGTTAAACAAGAAGCATGCAACACATGATTAATTTAAAAGTTATTTGATTTCATGGTTTTGTTTTTCCTGTCTTTAATAAATTTAATAGTGTAACACTTTATTAATAGAGGATGGTATTTAACTCAAGTACAAAATGCTGTTTCCTTGTGTATAATTGGAACAGAAATGAAGTGATATATTGAACTTTACAGAAACTGGATGGTCTTTGTTCTTTTGGAGCATTGTTCCATTGATTTAAAGTATGGGTGTGTCCAAGGGTGTCTCTACAATTGAACCAACAACCCATGCTTTAAAGCAGCCTGTGTGCTGATCCTTGATCCTTTATTTCATTTTTTTAAACTTCAAACATTGGTCAAGGTCCCTGAACATGCACATTATCTGAATCCCTTTTGTTGCTTAAATGTGAATATTCCTTGTTGATTTTGATGTGTGAATTATGAAGTAATTATGAAGTGCTAAGTCCAAAGAACTATACTGACTGACTTGTTACATAGATGACTTCACAAAGTAGGAGGAGGTGTAGGCCATTTCGTCTATTGAGCCCATCATTCCTGGATCCAGTCTGTCCAGCCCTGTCAGAATTGGATAAATTTGAATGGGAACCGTTCTCATTTCTCTTTACACCAATATATATAGACTGAGGCAACCCAATCTTTCCTCACTTACCATCCCAGGAATCAGTCTGGTAAATCTTTGCTGCACTTCCTCTGTGGCAGGTATCCCCTCTTTAGTAAAAAGACCAAAACTGTGCACAATACTCCAGATGTGGTCTGATCAAGCTCCTGTACAACTACACTGAGACTTTTTGGTCCTATACTCAGACATTTGTGCAATGAAGTCCAGAATACCATTTGCATTCTTAACTGCTTACAGTGCCTACATGCTTGCTTTCAGTGAACTGGTTGGCACTGGTTGTATACATAGACACACAGGTCCCTGGTACATTAATATTTCCCAACCTATCATGATTTAGATAATAATCTGCCATTTTATTTCTCCTACACATTTATCCAAGTTATACGTGCATGTATTATCCCACTCACTCAAATTCTCTAAGTGGCCCTTTACATTTTCCCCACCATTCTCGCTCCAATCTAGTTTGTATTATTAGCAGACTAAGAAATATTATACCTGATTCCTTCTTCAAAATCAGTGTTATACTATGAACAGTTTGGGTCCAAGCAGTGATCATGTCAATACCGAGATTGTCACTGCCTTCAACTCTGGAAAGTACTTATTTATTCCAAACGTGTGTTTCCTGCATGCCAACCAGTTCACAATCATACCAGTATACCAAGGTTTTTGCCAACTAAATTTCTTATGTGGAACTTGATCAAAAACTTTCTGAAAATCCAAATACCCAAAAAGCTCCTCCTGGTTTATCAAATGCCATTTTCTTTTCATAAATCCATGTTGACTTGGTGTAATATCAGTGATTTTTTTTTAAGTATCCTGTTTTCACATTCTTTATAATAGACGCGAGCATTTTCCCTACTACTGATGTATGTGTACATCCCAGTTTACCCACTTCCGCCTCTTTTAAACAGCAGAGTTGCATTAAATGCCCCCTCCAATTTGTGGAGGCTGTTCCAGAATCTTAAGAATTTGGAAGGTGACAGCCAACACATCCACTATTTCCGTGGCTACCTCCTTTTTACTATTTTAATTTCTCCAGCGATATTTACTTACTAATGCTAATTTCCTTTAATTCCTTTTTCTCAATGATCCTTACTTCCCTAGTACTTCTGGGAAGTTATTTGTGTCTTCTTTTATGAAGTCAGAACAAAATTAGTTAATTACTCTGTTGTTTCCTTGTTCTGCATTATCAATTCTCCCATTTCAGACTGTCAGGGGCCTACGTTCGTCTTCACTTTAAAAGCTCTGGCAAGGGTCATAAAAGCAGACTTCAAGTTTGTTCTCATGCTGTATTTTTCACTTCTTAATTAACCTCATGGTCTTCCTGTGCTGAATTCTGAACTGCACCCAGTTCTCAGTCTTACCTTTTTTTTTCTTGGAACTTTGTTTCCTCTTTGTATCTAACACTGTCTGTAATTTCTTTTAAATTGTAATGTAGACATGCCATAGACAATTTGCATTACAGATAAGGTGTTGCTTTAATAAAGTATAGTCAGTATGTTTGGCAGAAGAAGGGCTGTGTAAATTTCTACACTATGGGATATATCTACCTATCTAATACCTTAGTGTCATAAAGCACATCTTCCTTCATATATATTAATATGTTTCTCACCCACAATTTCTAATATGACCTAGAGATCTAGAATAATGATCCAGAGACATTAATTTAGATTCTGCCATGGCAACTTGGGAATTTTTCATTCAGTTTTTTGAATAGCCTGGAATTTTTAAACAATTGCTAACACCAGTACTGGGTGACCATTAACTAATGGATTATCATTAAAAATATCTGATTTATTAAGGTCCACTTTAGGGAAAGAAGATCTGACATATTTTCTCAGTTAAGGACCTGTGCATCTCAGACCCACAGCAATATGGACAAATTTTAACTGCTCTTTGAAATGGCCTAGCAAACTCATTTGAGAAGAAAGTGGCTGTCAACCCCCTGTACCTCAAAGGCAATTAGGGTATGGGTAATATATGCTGGTCTTGCCAGTGATACCAAAGTCCTCTGAATGAGTGACTGAGAGAAAGGTGGTGATTTCTCAATCTTAGTTGCTTTTTAATAGAAGGAAGTGCTTTTCGTAGTATTAGACTAGACTTTTTTCCCAGAAAGGCTTAATAAGCATCTGCATGCCATTAGTTTTGTAGAGTAAGAGGGAATGTGCTAATTACTCGTACAGTTCAATTTTAATTGTAACTTTTTTATTTTTCATGCAGCAAGAAAGTCTTGGGGCCCAGTTTAGCCAGATGAGCCTTGGCCGTCAGCCATCTGCTGAAGCCCCAGATACCCACACTGCCATATTCCCATCATCTGTAGTGCTTCAGCCACAACAGCAGCCTGGATTTATTATGGCGTCTCCAGGCCAGCCACTTCCTACATCTAACTATTCTGCCTCTGGTCCATCAGTTAATCAACAGGTGCTTCAACAGCAGGGATACATGCAGCAGCCTATGCAGCAGGTAAAAGCAAGACGCAGCATACCACTTTTCAGTTATCCTCCTCCTTCACTTAATTGGTTTTTTAAAAAAAAGCTTTCTTAAATTTATTGTTGTCTTATAAAGAGTCTCTTCCAGCTGTCACTGCAAACCATCCCCACCCCAAACTTCACTGCAAATGACATTTGAGAAGTAGCTTCCAACTCTTTCCGTGTACATTTGCTCAGTTCTTGCTATGAATCCATTAGTTAACTACCTGGCAGAATTAACTTGAGGACCTCTGAAAGCACAAGTGAAACTTTTTTCTTTTAAAAAGGTCAGATCTTATCATTTTGCATTTCCTCAGACAGCCCAACTAAAATACAGAGTTAGTAGGAACTGCAGATGCTGGAGAATCTGAGATAACACGGTGTAGAGCTGGATGAACACAGCAGGCCAAGCAGCATCAGAGGAGCAGGAAGGCTGACGTTTCGGGCCTAGACCCTTCTTCAGAAAAAAGGGTCTGAA